AACACGGTTTTTCCTTTATCAGTTGTTTAATCTATATTTCTCATTTAATTCCAACACTGACTGCATACTCAGAAAATACCAGTAATGAATCTGAAGCATAATAATTTGTCCTGCAAAAGGAACATTAAGACAAAATTTATATTTTTCGAAATTGCTCAAAACCGAAAAAATTTTAAAATATTGTTGAAATAGTATTTAAAGCCAAAGAACATCTAAAACCTCAGAAGTTAAACCTAAAGACACTGAAGTCTAAAGCCAAGAAACCCAACGGCACGATGGTTTAGAAATACTATAGACTAAAAATGCTGAAGATTAAAGATGCAAAACTAATAGAAAGACAAGTATATGCACCCGAAGCCTAAAAATTGTTTGTATGATTATTGAATTTTGCGCAAATCTACTTGAGGGCCATTTGCGCTAACCGTCCATAATTTTGAAGTGATAGACTAGAGGGAATGCAGCTAGTCAATAATACCCTCCGCAGCCTCTTGGTCTATCCTTCACTAACGAACAATGGGATTGACTGTCAAATTATAATGCTCACACGGATAAAAAGGCAATCTTGATCAATGACGGAATTCGAACTTTCAACCCACAGATTGGAAGTGTAAAAAAGCAAAACTTAAGACCATAAAGAGTTCATGCGTTGTGAAGCGCCTTACAATAAACAAATGCTTCACAACTAAATTTCACACGAGCTAACTACAGACTTATGGTCGTGTTGGGAAATATTAAACAAATGTTTCGACTAAGCTTTCTCACGAGCTGAACTGCCACTTTAAGATAAACACATGCTCCGACTAAGTTTTCTTATGAGCTAAGCTAGAGACTTGGGGACGTATTGCAAAATATTAGTTGTGAAATACTAACGAAAAACGAACGTTGAACACACCTGTCAAGAACAACTCACATTGTACTAAACATCGTCTGCATATCAGTGAGAAGTGAGAGGATTCTCACGTAAGGTGATTCTAACTAGACGGTTGTGTAAGTCTAAACAAATGTTTTCACGAATGTGAAAGTATCCAGAAAGTTCCAACAATGTATCGACAAATGTAATCTGGTCGGAAAAATGTTTATTCAAGACAGACTAGACAGGATGAGAAATTGTATGCACGGGTATCCTTTCCCGTAACCTTTTACGTCATTTGACGTCCAGTTCTGGGTCATTGGGCACCTGTCACTAAAAAGAGACGAGTCCACTATAATTGCTTGACCAATCACCTCAAAGTCTACCCCCCATGAGTTTGAATGGATTATGCTGCAACACCATATAAAAATTGATGTATCTGGACCAAAGGTGTGGTTGTCCCCGACAGCAGAGTTGTCCCCAACATCAAGGTTGCCCCAGAGGGTTTCAGGTTGTCCAGGCTTTCCAGGTGCTTCATTTAGCTAAGTTCCCGAGATATACAGACGGAAAATGGCAGTTTATCTATACATGCAACACTTGTACTACACTAACTCCATGTAAGTTTGAATTGCTACTATCCTTTAACTAATAATACTGCCAGGAAGAAATATGATGTATAATCCAAATGTTGTTAAAGTTAAATAAGTAATGTTGATAGGGTTAGAAACATTATGGATCTAATGTAAGTCACTGAAAGTGTAAACTTTTATGTAATCGATATTATTGTTTTTCATTCATCATAAGCCTCCACATCTTTATGTTAATAAAGTGTATATGTTTTGATGTAGAATTGGACTCGGTATCATTTATTCCTTGTGTTACTTGTAAATTTCCTCGAGTTGATTGACTTACCCTGGGTTTTTAAACAAATCTGTTGTAATTGGTGTCTTCTTGCCCCAGACGACGCTCTCTCGTTCCCACGATAGAGCAGCCTGTTACAGTTGTTACATTCTATGAAATAGCATTTATTTAAGCTGAAGGAACTGGAAAAGATGGAACAAAGGTCACACTGATCATCTGGAAGACTGGAGAAAAGCTGTGGAAGTATGAAAGTGGTCCAAACGTGAAAGTATATAGGGTAGACAGATGCTCCTTAAATTAACTTGAGGTGGCCATTATTACCAAAGGATCCTTAAGAAGCTTATCAGAAGCAGGAAAACCTTTGTCAAGTTTGGTGCTAAACTCTTGAAGAATATTATAGTAACATAAGTAATAATATTACATTCATTATATATGGATAGTGGCTGGTAGGTCTTTTAATAGAGATGGATAGTG